TTGATATTTAATTATGGAGGCCCACGAGCATCCTCTTTAGTTAGATCTTCTTTGAGCCAAAGACAACTTGGGTGTGCTTTAGAAAATCTCAGATGATTTATTTTGTTTGTCAATTAGAAAGTTAGATTAGAATTATATATTTTACATACCACTAACTATAATAAAATAAAACGGGAAACTTCTAATATTCTTACAATATTGAAAATGTAATATCCACAAAAATATGTTTTCATATTTCTGATTCATATATTATTACAATAACTCATATAATTCTACTTTTATATTTTTTATTTATCATAGGAAGAGAAAGTTAGTCAGTAGACCACTTTATAACCAAAAAGAAAAAAAAGGGTCAGTAGAGTAGACCGTTTGTTTTGGGCCTGGAAAGAGCTCTTCAAGCTAGCCATACGTTTGGGTTTGGGCTTGGGCTTCTATTTGGATTAGATCTTTCTTTTCTGGCCCAACAAGACTCCTCCTCTCAGGCCCAGAAGACCATAACCATTTATTGGTTAAAATACAGCTAGTGAAATCCACTAAAGTACATTCCACTTGGAATCACTCACCATTGATTAATAAATTAAGTTTGTGGTTTCATAGAAAATTAACAAAGCCAAACATAACAATAAAAATATAGAAATAATTAATTAGCTCCAATGAGAGTTTCTTTCTATATTTTTTATCAAATCACTAAACTATGTTCAGATTGATCTAGATCTGAATACTTACCTTCAAAATCGCATAACATGCAACGACCATTTTCGAAACTGTTCAGTTTTTACTCTGAGTTTCGGGATAATTAGAATCCCTAATGTTAGGTAAAGCAACAAATAGGGATGCCCATAAGCCTAATTAAGAGGAATTAAATTGGAGAAGGAGTGAGAGAGAGAGATGATGATGAGGTGATGATGAGAGAGAAGAAAGGGATGTAACAATATTGGAGGCTGAAAGGTCTCACTGAATTAAGGGGAAACTTCTGGTGGGGTTTGTCTGTGTGCTTAATATGTCCCAAGCAACCTACCTTGAGTCTTGTCACTTTCTTCACTGTTCTTCCACATAATATTGGCCCCACTCTCTCTGCCATCTCCATAAATTCTCTTTTTAATCTTCCTCTTCAATTCCTTTCTTAATTTCTTTGCCCTTTGGATTGCAAAACCCCTTTTACTATTGCATATTCAATTACTATCCTTCTTATCTACTACTTTTTCTTTACCAATTCTTACAAGACACAGGGTTTTATAACTATTGATCTGTTATTACGCCTAAAAGTTAAAATTAAAAGTTAATAGGTTTTGAGTACGTAAACCCTAGTGAAAATAGTGGAGAAGTGATGTTGGTCACGGTTTAAACCACAAACCTGTCGTTATGATATATCATGTTAATTAAGTGTGGAGATTCAAATTTACGACATATCTTAACTAGTTGAACTAAGTTGGCTAAGAATGGTTTTTAAGTGACTTATGGAAATTAAAGTTATTATATTCTTGAAATATTCAATATTTACCTCACAAATATTATAGATAACAATACAACAATAAAATGGCAAAGGTTTTCAGATCTGCGCAAGCTGACTCGGACACTTACAGATATAAAAAAAATTGTGAATAGAACTTTAAGAGTTTCATTTGATAAAATAGTTGATGGGACTAAATATATATCCGTAATCCTTTCCTAAAATCAATGTTTATATCATTAAAAGAAAGAGAAAAAGAAAAAGTACTGAAAAATAAGTAATCGAGTTGGTCCACTTGGGGGTAAAGTGTATGTGTGTATATATTATTTAAATTTCATATGGGTGAACTTAAAATTTTCTATCATGTTAAATCTCTCGTAGACGTAACATGATTAGTAAAATATATATGTGTATCTATGTATTATCTGATGATAAAATAAGTCATATCTTATTAACCCTAAATTTCTATTGGTAAAAATAACTATAATTATCACTCGTGAGAGAATTTGTTTTCTTCTCTTTTAAAAAAAAGTTTTTCCTTGCTAAAAAATAAATCAACCAACAAATTAACGAACACCACAAATAGAAATTTTGCTTTCCTCATTAAATAGGGGATGATATAACATTTATAGGACAACCAAATTATTGAGCCTTGGAAAGAAAGAAAATGCAAATATTCTTATAGTTTTGAAATCATGTGATGGGTAAATTAAAAATGTATTTTCTAATGACATGTTAATTATATATCTTTATATTATATGAATTAATTGCACATATTTTTATTGAATTGTGATCTCACTTTCATCCTTCTATATATGTGAGAAAAGAACAAAAATCTCTCTTACCCATTTCCACAGTCACTTCAACGTCAAAACTCTCACCCTCCAATTAACAAACTCAGGAATCTCTCTCTCCAAACCCTAAAAATAACACCAACAGCCTTCTCTCTCTAACGTGAAGTTTTGTTTTTTCTTCTAATTTTGTCTTTTCTAAAGGCGGGTTCGATAACCCTTTTCACCGTTATTAAAAATGAAACTTACTTTTTTCGTTATCAAAACTTGGCTTAAACTTTGAAAACATGTTCATAAGCTTAAAGAAAACAAAGAGTTTAAAATAATTATCAAAAGCATGCTCTAAATTGCCCATAATTGAAAGTTAGATGGTGTTAAGATCCCACCTTGAAAAGAAGAGGGATCTTACAAATACCAATTAATTTTGAGATAGAACGCACGATAAAATTTAGGGTTAACCGATGAAGATTCGTAGCTTCAAACATAAAACCCGAAGTCCCAATCCCAGATGGGAAAGCAAACAATTGAGTTGACCAATATCCAAGCTTATACAATGCATCCGTTGAACACAAAACCCACCAACTTAAATACATAAATGGCAAAGTTGGGAGGTTAAAAAAAAAAAAAAAAACTTGAAACCAAGAATTTATATTACCACTAGTGTCCATTAAAAAGCTCTACCCCTAAAGAAGGTGGTAAATAATTTAAGTTATTTCTAATTCTTCAAAGGAAGGAATTCAAAGAACTGAAGTGGAGTCAGATTAGTACTATTCATGCCTGAAGTTTCTACTGTTTTACCTCCAATAATCTCACCGCTTCTGCTTCTGCTAATTCTGGTGTCACTGCACAGAGGAAAAAGTTGTAGGGTTTCTCCTTCTCCTTCTTCTCCTGAAATTTCCTCTTCTTCCTCCTCCTCGAGCCCAACAATAAAGGGTGCACCAACATTATTGTTGTTGTTGTTATTATGATGGGATTTTTGATGCAATATTGTGGTGACCGTGGCGGCAGTGGTGGTGGAGGCAGTGCCGGCGAGGGGCGCCGCCGCACAATGCATAATCTGCAACGAGGAGGATGCAACAATAATGTTATTATTCTTTTCAGCAAAGGTATTGTTGTTGTTCCTTCGTTGGTGCAATTCCTCGAATTGGAGCCATCCATTGTCTGTCCTGCAGCAATCTCCTGCCATTACACTTGCTTTTGCCGCCCGTTGAATTGGAACAGATTCCTGTGGTTTTCAAAAATTTTAAATAAATTTTATAAAAAGAGGGTACACTACACATAAATCCAAAACACATATATTGACTTTTAGTTACAATAATATGTTGTTATGGAGGGGTTAATATGGACATTTCAGGTTTGTGGTTTAATTTGTGAAGAAACCCTTTAGGACCTCCTCCCACATTTCACACTTAGAAAGACAATTATTGCATCAATCCCACCGTGTCAACCAGAAAAATGAGGAGTCTTATCCTTTGCCACAGTTAAATATCTAACAACTAAGAAAGGAAAAGGTAAAAACAAAAAATTTTTTAAAAAAAATTATCGAGTGATCAAATATTTAATGGTGGCAAGGTAAAATTAATTTCACCCTACCAGTGAGGAGTCAAGTATTTTCTTATCAACAGTATTTATGAATGATGTAACTCCAATAACACTAAGGAAGAGAAATAATACTTCTCTACTAACTAGGTAGGGTTCTTATGGACAAAATTTTTGACAAGTATGAGAGAGAAATAGTATCAATACTACTCCATCAATTCATTATCAACTACATCACTATAGTTTAAGAACAATGCGTGGAGTCGTGAAAAAGAATGATTTCGTTGCGTAAAGGAAGGGAATAGATATCACCGGAGTACTATAAATTTTGTTTAGAAACCCTAGGACATTATTATTATTATTGAATTTGAATGGCGTGAATGGAAAAGGAAGCATGCATCTTCATAAATTTTGAACTTTTTTTTTTTGTTTTTTTAAGGGTGGAGAATGGAAGATGGCATGAAAAGGCGAAGGCGAGAGGCCCAATACCTCGTCCAAAGTTTCATAACAGGCAGCTATAGAGCCGACAGAAAGGAAAGAATGCAGCTTTTAGACCCTTTTCATTTCCCAACAAACTAAGCTTTTTGTTGCCTTCTTCTTTCTTCTCCTCACTTTTTTCCACCCTAAAGCCTTTCATATGCATGGGATGGGACACATTTTTATCTAATCATCACCACAAATTATTATTGTACTAAATTTAATTCTCGTCTGTTTTCTTCTAATTAGTTAATCATGTGGGTCAACTTTTGGAGAAGATCCAAAACAGACAACTTTTTTTCCCTATAACTAAAGAATAATGTATATGATTAGTTCTGAAAACTTGGTCTAAAATAAAAGGTGAGGAAGGGAAAAAAGTTGGACACCTCCGGAAGTGTAGTGCAGTTTTTGGTCTGTTCAACTTCATACGCTGTCCTTCCCGACCCTGTTGACAAAAAGTAAAACAAAAAAGAATACGACTTTACATCTCAACAAAACAAATGGAATGTTTAGAACCCGAAAATAATAAAGATGAAAACAACAAATGAAATTTTATTTCAGCCTCATGCTCATACGACAAAATGGGATGGGCTGAAAGTTACCCATCTGCTTTATTTCAAAGTAACTTCTGTGTTAATCCATAAAATTTGTAAATACGAGCCTAACTCAACGAAAATGGTGAGATTTTGCAGGGAGATTGATTTCTTATTTTGTTTTTTATGCCCCTACGATATTTAATGACATTTTTTTAAAAATCTTTCTCATTCCCAATAACAGAAAAGAAAAAAAGAAAACTAAAATTATTTGAAATTGTCAAGGAGGAATAAACCATCCTCAAACCCAAAAACTAATAGATTGGCTAACTTTAATTCATACATTCACAACAGAAATGATTTTAAAATTTATTTCTCGAGATAAGTCGTTAGATTCCAAAGTTCATGGATTTGGGTATGGATAAATTATAATGATTATGGGAAAGGGGTTTCTGATATGCGATCACCTGAATCTTTGGCTTCAATGATTTGGAGTTCGCGAGCGGCCGCGGAGTTGTCGGCGGCGGATTCCATTTGGCGGCGGCGTTTCTGGCGCTCTCTAGCTTTGTGGTTCTGGAACCAGTAGAACACGTTCTTACC